CTCCCACATTTTATCCCCGCCACGATGATGCACCTAGCATACTGTGCATCGTCCGAAGACGCGTGGAGATGTGTTTCCATCATATCTCGTGGTCGTGGGATTCGGTTGGCTCGGTGCATCTGTTTAGATCCAATCTTCGTTCATCTTTGTTTGAATGTTTATAGATTTGATTTTTTTGATCTACAATTTTATTCATCAACGATGGTTGCTGCTATGCTGCACTGGTCCTATGAGGCTTTAGCGCAACGACATTTCGACTGTCAACTACAACAAGATTTGCCCAGCTTTTGTGAGGGAGGGCGATGATGGCTGCGCGGGCTCGCTTCAGTGTTTGTAGTCGTCGCTACGTGATCCACGAACATGGTTGTAATTTTTATTATCTCTGTTGTTCTTTATACTGTCATGATTGAAGATGAATAAATTGTAAATTTTTCAAAAAAAAAGAAAAGAAAGAGGAGTACCAGTTTGCATGCCGCTTATTACACTACTAACTGCCAATTTCCATGAAATCATGTCATTTGTGCATTTTTTTTTGCGCGGTGGGTAGCATTGCTGGGTACAGAAACAGTTCCCCGTTTGCGGCACTAACGATGGAGTTTGATCTACACCGTCACATACCCATCCAACGGCCCACGGAATTTGGAGGGGGGAAAGATTGTCACGTGCGCCGCCGATTGCCTAAAGCATTTCTCGACGGAAGCCAAAAAGCAGTTTCTCAGTTTTTTTTCACGTTAGTTGAACTGATGCCCAAAGATTCCCCGGTGCTCAGGTCGTTCTATACAGCGTGAAATCGCTGGTTGTGGAAAGTCAAGAGTCAAAAGCCATGCTCTGTTTCCCCAATTCGCACCATCACATTACCAGAAACCGCAAGCAGTGACCCTACAGCAGCACCAAAATTTTGGCATCGATCGGAAGCCAAGACGACGACAGAAAGGAAAGCTAAAACTCGAAGCAGCGCGAACTAGCCGGCTAGCTCTGGTAGCTCCAGAGTGGCACGTCGGCGAGGTGAGCCTCCCCGCAATCGCCGAGCGCCGCAGCCGCGGCGGGCGGCGCCATGAGCATCGCCTGCGCCAGGCTCGCGTAGTACAGGTCCCAGCCCATCTCGCTCAGCACGTCCTGCTCGAACGGCGAGTCCTCCTCGGGCAGCGGCGAAGAGGACGACTCGTCGTCGGTGAGGGAGGAGGGCGCGGACGAGGAGGTGCCCGAGAGCGCGTCCTCCTCGGCGAGCGCCTCGCGCCGCAGCAAGTCCTCCAGGGCCTCCACGACGGCGTGGCGGACCTCGTCCAGGCTGCGGTAGGAGGAGGCCACCGGCACGGAGAGCAGCTCGGCCGAGTCGGCGAAGTTGAGGCAGGCGGCGCCTCCGGCGGCGAGCATGAGCATGGCGGCGTCGTTGGCGCGCGCGGCGGCCTCGGCGGTGTCGAAGGTGCCGAGCCAGAGCCTGCTCCCGCGCCTGCCGGGCACGCGCACCTCGCACACCCACCGCCCGGCATTGCCCCTGCGCCGCACGCCGCGGTACACCGGGTGCCGCGTCTCCCTGAACTTGGTCCGCCCCGCCGGCCGCTTCGCCGGCGCCGACGTCCACCCCGCCTGCCTCGCCTGCTGGCGCTCCGGCGACGCCGAGGGCGAGCAGAAGTTCTCCCCGCTGCACGGCGACGGCGAGCCCGACTCCCCGCTCATCTCCCTCTTGATCGGACACATCTTGCTGTCCAACGGAAGCTCTGTTTCTTGGCCGGCTAGGAGGTTCTTGTTGCTGAGGATGCTTTTGGGTTGCTCGAGTGTGAGGTGGTTTCGCTCTGCGATGAGAAATTTGAGCAGGGTGGTCTCGGGAGCGGCGTACTTATAGGTGGCGGTGGCTCGCGGCTGAAACCAGGGGGCAAAGCGCGGCGAGCGAGAGGGCAGGACACAGGCTGGATACGGCAGGCGAAGGGGGGATGCACCGTACGAAGCCGCGCGCAAGTGGGGGGCAACTGACAGACTTCGAGAGTGACCCCAGGATATATTTTCTTTATTTTACCTTCCTGCTTTCGCTTTGCCCTTATCGTTTTCCGCCTTGCTCCTGCTCACTTGCGCCCTTGCGCCCCGTCTTGCGGCCGTTTTACTTTGCCTCGTCCTTGTTAATGGTTTCTTTGGAGCCGCAGTTTGCGAGTTCGGGTTTTGGTTTAGCTGAGGGCATCTGGTGCCTGTGTAGTACGATTCCTTTTTGGATGGGGTCTAGATGGTCAGTGCTGCTTGACGTCCGGGTCTTAACGTCGAAGCTGATCATTTTTTCGCCATCGGGGCTGGCGCGCTGCAGAGCAAAAATCAGAATTCGCATTCCTTCGTTGGAGACCAAGAGTGGAAGCGGAGTTCTTGCTCCTCGGTGACGCACGTGGGCTGGGGCTCGTGGTGACCGACTTCAATTGTCATTTCTGACGTGGATGAGCAGATGCGACCTGGAATCAGTGTCACCATCTCCTTTGTTTCGTACAGTACTCGGGTTTTAGACGGGTTTTTCACTTCGCCTGCAGTATTTTCCTTTGAGAAAGGGCTAGTTTGTGTATGGCTCTCCAACGCTGACCTTGGAACCACCCGCTTTATCTCGATCAAGTGGTTCAGACTCATTCTGTCATTCAACGCGATGCCATAGTTAATTCGTGCGGACGTCTATTCTTTCCCAAATTGGACGTAAATTAAGGGGGCTTCGCAGACGTTTAGACCGCTGCGATGAACATGATGGACACCCAAAACTATACCTGGCCATCCGCCGTGCCGAGTCGGGCTTCGGGTCGGGCCCGACTAAGCCTGAGGTAGAAAACTCAGGCTCGAGCCCGGCCCAGCCCGGCCGTTAGGCTTACTTTTCAGGCCCAAGCCCGGCCCGCCACTACAAAAGCCCGGCCTGTCTCGGGCCTCAGGCCAGGTCTCTTCAGTAAAGTGCAAAAACAGCAGACCCGACCCGGCCATCGGCCTCAAAACCAAGGCCCGGGAGTTGCGTCGGGCCGGTTTGCCCATGGCCAGGACTACCCCGAACCCACCCAAAACTCCTCCCCCTCGCTCGTGACCTTTCCAACGCGAAGTATTTGCCGCGCATCATGTCGGTCCACAGTGCAAGCGCCCCCGCTTCTTGCCAGTTCAGAGTAGAATCGAATCATCTATGAACACATCATGTATGGCTAGCACATGAACGAGTATACAAGGGGTGAACAGATCATACCCTCTGGCTGGCCAGACCAACGCGGCAGCAGCAGCAGCAACAGCCTCGGCGTCGTTTGTGGCCTTCTTCTTGGCGGCAGTGTCTTCGACCATGGTGTCGATGCATGGGAAATAGTGGAAACAGAGGCGGACGGAGACAAGAACGGATCGGGAGCGGTCGCGTCGAGACGCTCCCAAAAAACCTTATTGTCGTTCTTCCGGACAGGATCTCAAGCGACGGGGTTCTGGAGGCACCTGCTCTCCCGACAAACCGTGCACGCGCTTGCCGGGACGGGATCACAGGAAGCAGCACAAAGAGAGGACAGTAGATTACGGCTAGGGTTGTGCAAGAGGGAGTGAGTGAATTGAGTTAGGGTTCACTCTACTAGCACATTGGCACGCGCCTCCTTATACAGGCCCACGGTCCAACGTCTTTGACAATGGTACTATTGTAGCGACTCGTCAAGTAATATGAAATTAATTAACCATTTCTGACCAACAAAAAAAAGCTTCGGCTCGGTTCAAACCCGCGACGCGCGTGAGGCGAGGCGGACGGCAGAGGAGGTGGAGCGCGTGTGTAAGCTCCCAATAGTATGTGATAGAGCATCCCTTATAAAGGGTTCTCACTCTCACTCCACTAGCAGCATGGTACTAAACTTTTCTCCACTTGTCATGCATCTAAACGGCCTTAGAGATTAATTAGGCATTATTGTTTTATATTCCCACAGAAATACTACTAAGGTTAGCAGCAGCGGTAATTTGTGACTTCAAAAGAAGTATACTAGATTGATTAGAGCGACATAGTATAATTTTACTTGTAAGAATGGTGTGAGTATACAAAATATACTACAAGACGTTGCCCGTGCATCCGCACTTTGCCCGTTTTGACTAAAAGAATTGGCAACTGAAGAATAGTCAAATCACTGTTGGTACTACCTCCCATATGTTTTCTCCCACTTGATCGCCCTTACAATAAATAGAAAAAGGTACGGTTTGGAAAGGTATCCACGCTCGTACTACCTTGAGTCAGCTGCAGCAACAGCAACAGCAGACTCCCATCCACCCAATTCATTCACTGCATGTACCGGTGTGACGTCGAGGTTGCTGCGAGCCGATACAATACAAAACCGAGACCGCCCGCCATCCCGATCCCGACGCCCACCCCGGTATGCGGTATCGCATCGGGCGGAAAAGGTGAGCGGCGGCAGGCAGCACCGCAGCAGGGACGCTGCACCGGAACCGCGTGCCGGTGCGGCGAATCCGTCGCGCCCCATCCCTATCCCGCACCACCACTTGCGCTGGATGACAAAACCCCGCTTTTCCAGTCCCCCTACTCCATGCCCCGCCCGCGTGCCCAACTTGTGGGAGATGCGTCCCGCCGCGGTCCCTTCATTCCGGGCCGAAATCACTGTTCTGACCTTGTCAGCGTTTGTACTCATAAACTAAACTCGACGAGAAAGTATTTCGCGATTTGACCCTTTTAAAAACGCCAGGGTCCGCGGCGTTTCCATCCAACATAGAAACGCCGAGCAAGCTAGCGTTTCAAGCCAACACAGAAACGCCGAGGCGGCTAGCGTTTCTGACCTGTCCCACAATCAGTCTGAACCCGCTGTTTTCGCTGACGTGGCACGCTTGAAACGCCAAGGTCCTTGGCGTTTCTGACCAGGATTAAGTAACGCGCGCGGGCCGCGGGGGCCTAACCCAGCCCACTCCCCCGGTCGAGCAGTTCCTTCTCAACGACGAACTGGCGGCCGCCCCCTCCCTCTTCTTCACCAAATCTTTCCCAGATCTGCTATTTTGATCATCAAAACGAGGAGATCGGAGCATCCCCGAGTTGCTTGAGGTATTCTCCTCCCAATCCTCCATTTGTTTTCAGTCAAGATTGGCTATTGTAGATGTATTTTTTCAAACATGGTGGAACCCTAAGATGAGTTATTAGTGATTTGTTTGATGAATATTTTGGTTACATTATGTTTAGAAAGAAGACATATACTCCTTGTGTTTAAGTATTCTTAGTTAAGTTGTTTATTATTGGATTTAGAGAGAGACCATTTTTTTGGATTAGGTTGAGCCTATTATTTGTTAATAATTAGTTGTGATAGATTCTTTAGGATAAAATAGGTTGAAAAGAATTGGTGTTGGTAATGTATCTTTGGGATAATTTGTAGTAGTTCTCACACGATTTTGTATATGATGTGGTCATAATTTTAAGCATATATTATAACAAATCCATTGACCTTATTTTGTAGGATGTTTGAGCCGGATAAATATCCCGGCCTTGATGATTATTACGAGGAGAAGCATCGTGTTGTGCTAGTGGAAAGATGAGAGGTAATTATGTATCTACATTGTTGATTCTCATATTGTGAGTAGTTTAGAGAAGTATATAAATTGTGCGTGTGTTATTTGTAGGTTCCTCTAGTACTTCGTTTGAGAGGCCACAACCCACGTGAGTCCTTGAGGTATGACCGTCGCTATGAGCCTTATTTTAGAAGAATGGATCTTCTCCAGTTTGTGCTCAACTTTAAAGGCACACCACCATGGCTGAACTCGACGGCCATTACCGCCCTTACGGACCGTTAGAGACCGGAGACGCACTCTTTTCACCTTGCTCTTGGTGAGATGACCGTTACTTTGGAGGATATTGCGATGATCTCCGGTCTTCCGATCGAGGGCAGGGCTCTTACCGGGAAGGTGAGGTCTGAGGGGTGGCGACAAAGGGTTGCAGGTTTGGTTGGTGTTGAACCTCCCCCATGGATTCATGAAACAAAGAAGGATCCTAGGCCATCTGATGTTTTGTTCTCGTGGCTACAAGAACATTTTTACGAGTGCCCAGAGAATGCCAATTCGGCTGTTGTGGAGAGGTACGCCAGGGCTTACTTATGGAATCTTTTGACCCAAGTGGTGTTTCCTGACGGCACGGGAGACACAGCCTCATGGATGTTCTTGGACCCTCTTCGTAACTGGGATGTCAAGTGGAGTTGGGGGTCGGCGGCACTAGCCTTCTTGTACCGTCAGGTAATGATAATTTGATGCATTCTCATTATATGAAAGAAATTTTTTCCTGTGATTGTTTAATGTGTGTACAAATGTGCAGTTGGACGGAGCATGTATGAGGAGTAAGCCGAAATCTTGTCTTGGTGGTTTTGTTTGGGCCCTACAGATTTGGATGTGGGAGCGTATCCTTGTGGGCCGTAACTTCACCATTGCTCCGGAAGAACCTTGGGAGTGGCCTTTTGACGGGGATGAGGAGCATACTCGACACTTGTACTATCGCATACACTTGGGCTAATGTCCAAGTGTCGAGTATCGCCGCCATGGGGCGGTATAAGGCATACATAAGCGAGCTTGACATGCTTACTTACAACCAGGTAATTATCAAATCCCTTGCCATCATTACAGATTTTTTTGTTGTGCATGAGCTAGTGACATGTTGTGATGTAGGTTAATTGGAGGCCGTACATGGTACTTAGGCAGTTCCCTTTGAGCAATATGTGCGTTCGTGCCGATTGCTTGGAAGTAATGCCAAG